CCTTTTTCCATGACAATCCTTCAAGTGGCCATATAGAATTTAGATTTTCGTCCACACAAGGTGCCTGTAATTGATCATTTTTTTTTACAGTGCTGGTGCACCTAAGGAAAATAAGAGAACATGTTCTTAACCTAGAGCTCTCTCAAACATCAACTTAGCCTAATAACTCTAATATCTTATTAAAATTCCTTCTAACAAAAGAGCTAAGGGAGATTTCACCATCGTGACATTTTGTCGAAGCATTCTCTTTGCTTATCCAAGTTCTCTTCTTGCAAGGATGTTGATTTTCCTCCAAGAAAGCTCCAAGAACTTCCTCTTAATCCCACCTCAAAAGAATATGAAGTGGAAGAATAAGAAGAAGATGAGATAAAAGAGGAAAGGGGAAAGAAGAAAATAAAAAGTATAAGGATGAAGATGAAGTTTTCTCCTCTCTTTTTCTCTCCAAAAGCTCTCCAAAACTCTACACCTAAATTTCTACAATACTCCTTTTATTTTTATCTCCCCTCAAGTTTAAATGGCTAAAATATTAAAGAGTAATGAAGCCAAAGCGCTTCCCATGTTCAACACTCCTTTTTCCATGACAATCCTTCAAGTGGCCATATAGAATTTAGGTTTTCGTCCACACAAGATGCATGTAATTGATCAATTTTTTTTTCTTGCAGTGCAGGTGATAAAGAACCTTTCATGGTACCATCTCTCCATATAAAAAATTAATTTTCGTTGCTCAAATCATCCAAAATGACACCAAAACTGGAAGGCAAGCGGCTAGCACCGGCTTGATTTAGTAGACCCCAATGTTTTTATGAAAAAGACATTTAGGGAAGGTTCTTATGAATGCCTTATACCATGAGAAGATATATGATTGAAATATTATCCTAACCTATTAAAATTGATATCAGACATGTTTCATATCAAAAATTAATACCAATCAAAGGTAAATTATTCTGGACATATCTATACCAATTTAAATCATGGTTTCATGCCCAAAATGTTTGTGGAAGGCTTTTATGGATACCATAAAATAGTAGAGGTTATTTATGAATGAAATATGGTCCTCAAGCATTAGTATGGATATCAAACGTGTCGTATCAAAAATTTATACTAACCAAGGATAACTACTTTTGGGAACAGTTGTACCAACTCAAATTCTGGTTTCATGCCTAAAAAATCGGTTGAAGGTTTTTATGGATCCCTTGGATCATTATAAATAAAAAGTCCTCAAAATTAAAAAATGATATCAAACATGTGTCACATTAAAATTTAATGCTAACTGGTGCACCAAGCTCTAGCGCATATGCGCTGGTTCAACTCTTAGTTCTATGTCATAAACGCCCACTGAAGAGTTTTTTATGGAAGTCTTGAGTTATAGGAAGCATTGTATGAATAGATTATGGTCCCATAACATGTTAATAGTCATCTGAAATATGTGACATTAAAAATTAATGCCAATAATGACACTACTTGAAGAACTATTACTCACTTGAAAATATTTAAAATATTTGTAACCATTTCCAATATAGAAATCTCTCTTAGCACTTAAAGACCATCGCATGTGGGGATATTTCTTTGATACCTTTGTTATATTTTCTTTGTTGAAACTCTAACGTGGTGGGCACATAATAATCCTATAATTATAAATCTCTTGAAACTACAGCTTATCTTAAAAGTTATTTTATCAAATTTAGCTATTTAGTATTAAGTCGTTCTCTTATAATCCAAATTTTTAATGTAATATTATGAAAGACTATTATCAAATACTTCTACAGCAAGCTGATCTACCTATTGTATAAATTCTTCTTCAAAGAATGAATACATCTTTCTTGAATATAATGAAGCAGCTTGCTTCGTCACAGGACTGCGTTTAGCAAAATGAAAAATTATAGATTGACTACTTTTGAATCCTAATCCTTCTCATTCCGTCCTCATGCTAGCATGACATTCTCAACTTACAAAACATAATCGATGATAATGTTTGTATTCTTGAAGATATCATGACATAAATTATTTGTATAATTAGTTCACTGTGTGGATAAGATTCCTAAGCTACATAAATCATTTTTAAAGGCCGTTGACCACTTTTTTCTAATATTGTACAACTTATCTAGCCAAACATTGTCGTAGAGGTTCCCTTTTTCAAGCATTTCAGCCCGGATTTGTTCGAACTCATTTTCTGAATTACATTCATTCATGTAAGTATATAATAGATCGCATATTATCGCATTATTGATGGAGCAATGTATTTTTGTAAGAAATTTCTTAAAATTATATCATAGCAAAATCTATGATGACTATGTGACAACAAACCTTTTATAACTCTCACCATTACTTGATCCTAGTTAGTGAATATTTTTAGATAATACTATTCATCCATTGTATAAACAAATGTTTTGAATAACTAATTGAATGAGTCAATTATCTCATTCGATAAAAAGCCTACCCCAAAAAGAATATTTTGCCAGTGATGGTTAACCACTTAAAAAGGGTGCAAAAACTAAGTTTTATTTATTCAATCATTAACTTTTATAAAAGATGACAACAACCCTAAAGAAGTCATAATCAACTCCTAACATGTCATGGCTCTAAAAAAAGCTCATCGACCTAACTGTCTCATCAATTTGAAAATCTCATGCAAACATATTATTTGCTTCTTGACTCTGTGAGCAATTATGTTGATGCATTAATTTCACCCTTTTTTTATCTTTGCTCTTTTTTCCTTTTGAAAAAAGAAATTGAATGCATCTTTTTCAAAAATCTGACATTTTCTACACCACAAACTTCCATAACAAGAAACTTAAATTCATCAGTAGCTTCAATCCCTACTCTCTCATGGATTTCAGTACATCTGCATTTTCAACTAGATCTCAAAAGAATTTGATCACCTTGCTCTGTTATGGAATGATTATGGCTTTCTATAAATTTTTTTAATTTTCAATTGTACTCAACATCAATTTCATATCAAATCATGATGGACAAACATACTTGATGTCTACTTTTTAAAACTTCACCGTGCTATTGAGATTATGCCCCTTTGTAAAACCAATAATGCCATAGAAAAATTCTTTTGATTTTATATTCCTTAAATTTGACCAATAACTGATATTGTTCTTTCAAATAGTAAATCCAATGAGATATGCATAAAAACAATATAAATTCTATACCTCATTTTCCTTATAAAGTAGTGCTATGAAGTTTGTCTATAATTGGTTCATTACCCAAATTTATTAGCTCACAAAATTGCTAATATATACATATTTTAAAAACAAGATTATATAAATTAACGTCTTTTATAAAAATAGAAGTATTTTAGTGGTATTGAGGTGGTACACATGAAAATTTTGTTTTATTTTACAAATGAACCATATTATTTGCCATTTTAATGTGAGAAACAACATATTATAATGTTATATAACTTTGTTATTTTAAAATTGATGTTCTAAAAGTAAAAATATGTTTTAAAAAATGATTATATTTTGGTGGTATTGTGATGGTATAGATGAAAATATTGTATTTTTCTCACAAATGAATCATATCTTCTGCTCTTATGAGGTGAGATATAATAAATTATGATGTTATGCAACTTTTCTATTTGACAATTGATCTTCTAAAAGTGTAAACATATTTTAGAAAAATTTTGATATTTTGGTGTATTATGATGGTACAAATGAAAAATTTATGTTATTTTCTTATGAATTAACCATATATTTTGTTGCTCTGATGCGAGACATAATAACTTATGATATTATGCATGTTTGATTTTAAAATATTAATGTTGTAAAAGTATAAACATGATTTAGAAATATGGTGGTATTTTGATGGTACAAATGGAAATTTTGTGTTTTTCCTCACAAATAAATCATATATTCTACCGCTCTGATGTGAGAGAATAGATTATGACATTATCCACATTTCCTCTTTAAAAATTAATGTCTACAAGTGTAAACATGGTTTAGAAAAAGCTTGGTATTTTAGGGGGATTGTGGTGGTTAGTGCATAAGAAAAAATTAAGTTTTTTCTCAAAAATAAACTATACCTGCTTTGATGTGAGAGATAATAGATTATAGTGAAATGCAAGTTTCTTATTTGAAAATTAATCTTCTAAAAGTGTAAACATTTTTTAAAAAATAGTGATATTATGACAATATTGTTATGGTACAGATGGAAAATTGTATTTTTCCTCACAATTGTATTCTTCTGCTACTCTAATGTGACAAAAAATATATTATATAATGTTATTCAAGCTTTCTATTTAAAAATTGATCTTCCAAAAGTGTGAACATGTTTTATAAAAAAACATGATATTGTGATGATATTTTAACGGTACAGATAGAAATATTATTTTTTTTTCTTCACAATTATACCATATCATTGCTCCGATGTAAAAAAACACAATATATTATGTTAACAACTTTCCTATTTCAAAAATTATCTTCCAACTGTGTAAGAATATTTTATTAAAATGATTATGTTGTGATGGTGTTTTAGTGGTACAGAAGAAAATATTTGTATTGTTGGAAATATGAGATTTTTTTCCTCACAAATTAACCATATTCTCTCCTTCACTGATGTGAGAAACTAGTTAAAGCTTCCACTATCAAAAAACATTGATTCAAACTACAAAAAAAGATTACGTATAATTTAAACATGATAAATCAATATTAAAATATATTGATTCAAATTACAAAAGATTTCAAGCAATACGAAGTAGTTCTTTTATTTCAATGGCAGCTAAACACACCTTGATTTCATTCCTATCACAAAATTTTTAACTTTCCATCTTCAAAATTGCTTTGATGTGAATTAATCATGTCACACTCTTCAATATACCACAAAAAATCTTAAACAAAAACCCTATAACGTGGAGAGAAAACGAATGCAGCCTTGGACAAAATGATAAGCCCTAGAGCATCAAATAGAAATGAAGGCGGAGCGGGATTTCAAATAGGTAACTTCTAATTTTTAGGTTGATTTCGGAGTTTAGCTGAAAAATTAGATTTAAATTAGATTTCGGGTCGACAAAAGTTGTTGGTGAGCTCACCATCAAAAATCAACAATAACGTTACTAATTGCCGATTTAATGGCAATAATACATTAATATCACAATCAATACAATGGCAGCATGTTATACAGAGTTTAAATTGTAGTTTTCATTATGAAGGAACCCTCCTGTAATAAGCAGGAATCATTGCAGGAAAGAACATTTGACGAACCCCCTCTGCTCTTATTATAGGAAAAATTATGTCACAAGCACTCTGCAAAAGAACAATAGTCGAAATTCAATAAACAAATAGGGAAGACAAGAAGTTTTAAATTCACTTCTAACAGCAGCAGCAGTTGACCATTACAGTATAATATCCATAAAAAATGCTTATGGGAATGCTATTTTCTTGTTTTTAACCTTGAGAATTGCAGCAAAGAGACATTTGTCATATATGAATTGTTTCTTTTATTTTTTTTTTCTTTTGTGAGTATTGTCCTGGCACAAATTTCGTTCAAGCTGGAGACCTTGGCAATTATTTTTAAGAAATTTACTGACTTTGAAAAACCATATCCACTCAGGTGCATTAGTTAAGCTCTTTTAATTTGACACTAGCAATCATCCTATGTAAAGAACATCCATCAGTTTGCCAAAAAAATCTACGAGTAAATTTCAAAGCATAGTTGGCAAAATAATCTGTAAGGGGAGTAAATTTCAAAGCGGACCCATTTTGGCATAATCATTGGGTTTAGGCTCCCACAGCAAAATTTTTGGTTCGGGCCATGATGTATTCAACGACACTTGAATTTTTTATTAAATTTGTTCAAAGTTATCAAAAATAAAAAAAAAATAAAAAAAACCAATTTTTTACTAGACATTGGCATAATTGTTTCTAAGCAGAGTGATTTTATGCTACCATAATAAATAAATTTATAAGATTATTTTTTCTTGTTTTTTCTATGTCCTTAACTATCAGCACAAAATTTATCTTAACATAGGAGAAAAAACCTTTGAATTTTTTAGTGAAAAGCACCTATGAACTAGGGGAGAGTTTATTGGAGTTGTAGGGTCGAAGCCATGGGAAGCATAGACATCCAAAATTTCTGAGATGAGACTAGATGGGTGGCTTTCTATGGAATAGTTCAAATGGAGATTTGCTATAAGTAGTTGGAGAAGGTGTGTGAATAATAAGATAAGTGGAGGTAGGTAAAAAGAGCAAATAGCCAAAACTTGGAAGGTAGTGGGCATCATGTAAGAGAGCCTTGGTTATCTCAATGAGATGACGATGTTTACATTCGACAACACAATCTTGTGTAAGGCGAGCTAAGTTGATGAACAATACCTCTATTGAGGAAGTTTTTTCGTGTGACTAGTATACCGTTTTTCATAGTCGGATGTTCTTCCACCAGTAATATGAAATGAATAAGTTTTGGGGTTAGCTCATCTTTTGTATCTATTGGATAAACCCAAGCAAACCGAGACGAATCATCAATAAAAGAAACAAAATATCAATATCCATTAATAAGGACGGTGTGAGAAAGTCCCCATACATTCAAGTGAACTAATTCAAATAACTTATACTTGTGATTATGGCTCTTGGCCATGCTACAAGAGTGACATAAAGAAGAAATAGAGGAAGCATTGACGTAGTTGTTTGTAGTAGACAATGTTGACGTGATAACTACATGAGGGTGACCGAGCCTTGAGTGCCAAATATGCTTGAGGTTTGAAAGGACCTGAAAAGCTGTTGGTGGAGGACGATGATCATGGATTGGGTAGAATCCATGATACGATTCGACGTAGAAATCAACAAAGGACCTGAAAAGCTGTTGGTGGAGGAAGATGATCACGGATCGGGTAGAATCCATGATACGATTCAACGTAGAAACCAACAAATATTATTGTAGAAATTAGAGAAAATACAAATTTTATTGTAATAATCCAAAAACTCAACAAGAACACAAAGAAAAGCATCTACGATTCGAGAGGTAGGCGATCTCTCTCAATTCCAATAATTCAACAGGTAGGAAATCACTCCCAAAACCTAAACCTAAGACTCACAACAAAGATGTAATCCAGACTTATACGAGTGAGTTGAGTTCGTATAGCTGTCCTGAAGGCTTGTAAACCATTTAATATGTGAAGTATGATGTCTTCTAAATCAATGAATGATCAAGCAACAGCAGTTTTGTCCAGCAGAGCTTATTTGGAGGATAGATATTGTGATATGGCCTGATTTTTCATAGAGAAGGTGTGAAGTTCATTTTTAAGTTGGATCGTCCTTGATCTCCTGGTTGGTTGGAGATGTTTCTAGAGTGTTTGCCAGATTTCAAAACATGAATGGAGGTTAGGAATGTAGGGAAGAATAGAGGCTGATAAGGTGGAGCAAATGCCCGAAGATAAAGTTCTGATCCAGCAGTTTCCAGTTGATTTTCAGGGTTGGGGGAATTACTGCCATGGGAATGAAAAATTAACTGGGAAGGACATATACTGGCTCTATCTAGAAACCCTTCAAAGCAATTTGCAGTGAAGGCTTTTAGGATCTGAAGCCTCCATATGGAGTAGTTCTCAATTGTCAGTTGGATACTTAGCAAGTGTTTGAGGTTGGGTATGATGAACGTCAGTGATTGAGAAATTGCTACATCGCCTGTTCATCTAGTAGTTTGATTGGTGTTGATGGTACAATTGGTCTAATCCTCCATGATAATGAGGATTTAATGAGAAGAGGAAGGCTATGAAGCAAAAATTTCTGATACCAGAAGAACCTGCAAATAAAGCAGCAAACTCCAAGAAGAAAGAAGGGAAGATAACAACAGGTATAAACAGAGCAATAGTTTAGTATTTAGCCTTAATGTTTTCAGAAATACAGCCGTATAATAGGTATGAAAAGTGCAGGAATCTTCTCCATCACCACTAGGGCTGTCAAAACGGCTTGTTGTTCGCGAACAGCTCGTGTTCGGCTCGTTAATTTCGTTCGATAAGTTAACGAGTCGAACACGAACTAAGATGTGTTCGTTCGTGTTCGGCTCGTTTTGGCTCGAAATACTACTCATCAAGTTTATATATATATATATAT